GGGGGGGGGGCACCAGGACCGCTGATCACAAGAGCGTGTTTTTCTCCTTTTATGAAGCACCTACATATAAACGATTTCTGTTTTCTGATTCATTTTCTATAAAACGCTGATGTCTGGCATGTCAAATTTTTATATTTTGTTCTTGTTTGCCTTCTCTGTGGCCTGGAGACCATATGTCTACTCCACCCCCCTTGCCTTTATTCCACGGCTTGTCTCTGTACTGACACTCACTGTGCGCACACTTGACAGTTACTAATGCACTGCATTGTGGGGCATGTCATAGTGCAAAAAGACAAGAGACAGAATAAACTGTTAGACATGTATAAGGATAGTTCAGAGGAGTTTTACATTTGGCAGAAAAATACTAGAAGATGGTTTTGTAAACTGTAGGAAGGTTAAAAACAAAATAGAAAAGGAGTTACGTAGTTGGGTAAGGATGAATAAAGACACAGATCAGCCCAGTTCAACCTATAGATACAGTAGATGTGTGTGTGTGTGTGTGTGTGTGTGTGTGTGTGTGTGTGTGTGTGTGTGTGTGTGTGTGTGTGTGTGTTGCTACGGACTCCCATACCCCTGTGATTTAAAGGATCTTTTTTTTCTATGGCCATTTGCGCTGTCATTTGACATCAGTAATAATTACCAACCCGAGATATATGAAGCAGATTCTCAGATGCCTGATGCAATATTGTGATGTCATATCAGATAATATGGCATGATAAATTGCTCATACTGTTTTATGCCCTGGGGTTTGCGCTGGATGTTGTGCTGGGAGTATACGTAGCTGCTGAGCAGGAAGCGTGAGCAGCAGTTGTCATGATATTTACTGTGGCTTCAGATCTGGTGCTGAAACCAAAAGCTTGATGTGGCACAGTATGAGCAAGTGTGGAACAGATGGGCTAAGTACAGATCAGTGCACACAGCCTGTTTCATCTAGCCACTGCACAAACACAGACACACACAGCCTGTACTATACAGTCAGTGCACAAACACACGGCCTCTTCTATCCAGCTGACACACACACACACACAACCCTTCAACTGTAACCGAACAATTAGCCTACACACACTTAACACAGAGACAGTCAGTCCACAAACACACGGCCTCTTCTATCCAGCTGACACACACACACACACAACCCTTCAACTGTAACCGAACAATTAGCCTACACACACTTAACACAAAGAAACTAAAGTATGCTAGTCTCCTGACAGTCTCTGGCTTTAAAGCCACCCTGCCATGAAAAATGGATGGTCAAACCCCTGTTACCCGTAAAAGTAGATTGTGTATAATTACCTTTCCCTCTGCAGGCACCAACGAACACTGGTCCGTTCATGGGTTCTTGTCCCATGAAGTCTGCTGGCAAACCAACACTTCCGGAAGTGTCGATCTCCTGGGTCTCCAGCAGGTCTTACAGCTTCCTCCCTCTGACCTCCACAGGACACAGTAGACATATGAAGGACAGCAGGAGGAACCAGTTAGAGCTGAAGGGGAACCAAGGAAGTAGTCATTCCCAAAAGCGTCTGTTTTCATGCAGACTTCCAGTGATTGCGGACTTGTGAATGGAGCAGTGTTTGTCAGCGTGATCACCAGTCAGTGATTATTTGCAGTCTTCTTTTACAGGTAATAGGGTTTGACATATTATTTTAATAGGTAATAGGGTTTTTACATATTATATTTCATATCTTTTACTCACTGACCAGAAACAAATATACAGCACAGTGGTTTGAAGTGAAACTCCTTATGTCTATGCTTCTTCTGGGTGAGCATCTCAGAAAGTGCTAGAGTCAATGGATGAGCATGGCACCCAGGCAACATGCATGTGTGTTTTGTAAAGTAGCCACCGCTCCAAACTCGCTCCCGTCATAGACTACAATCTCAACACAAATTTAGTAAACTAAACGTGAGATTGTAGTTTGAAGTGCTCATTATTGTCTGGGGGCTGGAATAGAGCAGATATACTCACCTGAATCTCGCTCCGCTGGCTCCCTCCAGGCTGCTAGACTGCTTTCCATCTGGTGGTCTAAAGATTGCTGAGGTCATCACAGCGAAAGCTGGCTATACACTGGTCTATTTTTTTTCATTCAACCCGTGAGCTGAACAAAAAAAAAGACTTCAAGGCAGGGTCCCTACATGTTTAAAAATGTTAGCAGCTTGTCTGTCACATCGACCCGCTAGAT